CCATGGGGGATTTGCTACTCTATTTATAAGGCAACTTGGGCTGGGGCGGAGCTACTTTTATTTTTGTTTCCGCCTTGACTCAAAGTCTGACAAAAGTTCTTACAAATCCTTTCGGGCAGGCAAAATTAATTTTACAACATTTTCCCCAACACCAACAGCAGCCGCCACGAGCCACGAGCCACGTTTTGTGCTCACCTCATGGCCTACTTTTTGAAGCTGTTAGCAGAGGGAGGAGGTACCATCCACAGAAACAATTACACAACAAATAGGAAAACATATTAAACAACAATTTGCGGAGCTCCTTTATGAATCACCCAACAACACACACACATAACTTGTGCCACATAAACAAGAATGTAGCCAAGTCGGTGGAAGACTTCTCGTCCTTCCAGTTTCTGTGTAAATTAAACTTTATGCTGTGGCCCTTCATTACAGATCGGTGGCCAAAAGCGATAAGTGAAATGGAATATTGGCGTTGCATCTTCGCCACGCCAAGGGATAAAGTTTCGCCTGAGATTTTGAGTTCATTTTGGAAGCCACTTGCAGGGCTGCTGCTGGCTGGTCAACGATTTATCAGGCAGGACTCAAAGTGGGCCTCAGAATGTGTACAAATTGATGTCAAAAAAGTGTAGCAAAAAAGTATGCAAGAATTTGAGTTGAATTGTGTTTTTGTGTGAAAGTTCTTTTGCTTTGGCAGTTATTTAATTGAATTTGTTACCGAAGGCGCTGTGGCTGGCTGTCCACACACACACACACACACACACACACACACACGCAGAGACCTCACTCAACCTATTGCCCCGGAAAAGTTCTGCTTTTCTCGTAATTTCTCGTTTAGATTTGCTGCTGTGTGGGGGATAAGGGCCCGAGAGTTGTTGGCTGCACTACTCTTGGCAATATTTCTCGAAAGTTTTTACGATTGTTTAATAAAGAACTAAGACGCACTTAATAAGCTTATGGACAGGGCGTGGCCAGCCAGCAGCACTAACAGTAAATGTAACCAGCAGCGGCAGCAGCGGCAGCGGCGGTAGTAAAAAAGCTTTGCCATCCACAAACAATTCAAATTAAATTGAAAGTCCGGCCATTCCATTCGACTTTAGCTTCTGCATTTTTGCCACTGACAGCAACAACAAGAAGCGCCGGCAACAAAATTGAGAACAAAATGAATGAAGGGAGAGAGAAAGAGACATCCACACAGGGACAAAAAGCTGTGCATTGTGATAGTGGAATTTGTTTTAAAATAATATTACATAGCTGCAGGCACTGCTCTCAGCAGGGAGGAGCTCTACAGCTGCTCTAGCAGCGGGCTGGAAGCTGCGCAAAAAGTTCAAAGAATGAAACGAAAGGGGAACCACACACACGCGGAAAGACACTGCCAAAAGAGGAGTTTTGAGTAGTTAGAGAAAGTATCAAAGAACACTAGCTGGAAAAACTGGCTGGCTCTGTGCAGCGTTAAAGTTGTCAAAATGCAAATTTATTATGACTCATCAGAGAGCAAGCAAGAGTAGAGTGAAATATTAAAGAATAAATCAAAGCAAAACATTCAAAATGAAATTGAATGAAGCTTTCGCTCTAATCAAAAACACACTTGTAGCCACACACACACACACAGGCATCTACAAATAATTGTTCACAAAATGCAATTCACTTAAGTCAGTCTCGAAAAGCCGCAAAGTTTGTTTAGTCGTGGCTAAAATCACTTAAAAGGATTTTGCTCGTTGAGCGAGAAAATAGCTTCAGTTGCAGTCTGCCAGCGTCTCTCTGGCATCAATTAAAATGGGATTTAATTTAGAATGCCTGCCGCCAGGTGATCATTATCCTTCGCAGCTGAGTGGAGCTACCCGTCTGCAGGGTGAAGTAAAATCAGCGAAAGCAAAGAAGAAATGCTCCGTCTGTGTGTGTGTGTGTGTGTGTGTGTGCGGGAAAATTTAATTGTGCGAGTAAAGGAAAGGGAAATGGAAATGGTTGGGAGCTTGAAGCCGTGGGAGGTTGCTGCTCCACGGCTCCACGGCATACCCCGCGTCGAGGCAAACGCTTTGATGAGTGCCAGCAAACAGAAGAGTGCATTTCCGTGCATAATTTTTGGCATTTAATCGGATTGCTGCACGACAGCAGGCAGCAGGCAAGAGGCAACAGGCAGGCAGCTTCCTTGTGCAAATATACACACAGACGTGGCCATAAGAATGTAGATTTAATGTGATTAAGTGACAGTATGTTGGTCGTTCGTTTGGTCTGCACGTGCTCCATCGACTATTTTGAACCAGAAACCACAGGAATTAATTGCTTAAAGTGAAACCAAAGCTGTGGCAGTGCCAATAGCCCAGTTCCGCTTTCACCACTCTCGCGCTTCCCTTTGCTACTGGCAACCCACCAGGCAACCAGCCAGCCAAATTCTGACCCAAGTGCGTGGGCGTGCGTTTAATGCCACTTTGATTTTCACACTACGAGTCTATCTAGCAGCCAGCCACTCTTATTCCCACTCCCACTCCCACTCCCTCCCCCCACACCCTTAATCGCTTCTCCACAACCACTTGGTGGCCCAACTGAAGCGAAAGGCAAGGGACTGCGGGCTGTGGACTGCGGGCTGTGGACTGTGGACTGTGGGCTGTGGGCTGTGGGCGGACTTAATTACGCACGTATGGCTGTTTAAATTGGGTTTTACTGGCGGTAGGGAAAATGTTAGTTTTATGTTAATTAACTATTGTTTATGTCAATTAAGTGAAGCGCAAGTATTACCGTATCGCTGCAGCTGAGGGGCGTGGCTAAATGGGCTACAAATTGTATTAACTTTTGGGGTAAGCAAATGGGAAATTAATATGGCCGCAAGAAGGTGGCAAGAGACAGCTTAATGGTGGGGGTAGAACTATTAAATAAAGTGAGAGGCAGATGTTAGAGAGCTTGAACTTATGACCCACAGCAGGATGCAGAAATTCCCCTTTGCCAACTGGTTTCTGGTGAGATTTGGCTGCTACGAAATGTGTCAAGTTGAGACACAGGATACAGGCAGAGAAAGAGAAAGAGAGAGAGAGAGAGAGAGAAAGAGTGAGCCCTGAACTAAGACACCCACGGTGACCCAGTACCTCCAAGAGGCTTATGTTCGCTTTTTGCCACACTTTTTCTTGCCAGAGGTTGCCACTGACAATGGTATATGGTTACAAATAGACGTAAACCGAAGCAGCTGCTGCCATGGCACACTGAGGGAAAGAAATGCCCTTTGTAAATGACACGAAATGGCTCAGGATTGACACAATTTCTGGGTGGGTGGTTCTATTCATAGCCGAAACAATCATTTTCACAGTGTAAAGTAACATACGTATAGGCACTGCCACGCCCTGCAGCGGCCCACAACTCATTTCACTTAAGCTCCGTTAAACATATTTAAAGTACGTGATGTTAAGTGTCTTCTGTGCATTTGGGCTCCACAGGAGAACCCAGCACTAGCGAGCCTCCACGCTGGGCTTGAGCTGTGCTTGTGCGGCGGGGGGTCTTTACACTTTTTGCATAAGCAAATTTTAATATGTTTAACTCGTTTTAGTTGGGTGGATGGGAGAGACTGTGGAGATAGAGAGAGAGAGCGAGAGAGCGAGAGATTGAAGAGCGGGCGGAGTGCCAGGGGGATTGGCAGGAACTTCTGGCGTTAATTTTTAACCAGCTTCGCTCGGGCATCATTTGAGAGCCGAGAGAGCTTGCCAGAGTACATAAATGTCAACCGAGGAGCGCTCATCCATCAATGAGCTTTGAAAAATTAACACTGCGGAGTGCCACTGCCAAAGAAAGGCAGCATGGCAGACAGGCAGACAGGCAGAGAGGAGGATGGAGCACGAGGCTTGTGGCCTGTCGCTTTAAATTATGCAAAACGTTACCGTACGATTCCCCGGCTCTGGGCCACGGTCTGCGCTCTGGCTTGCCAAAGGTATGCCTGAATGATGAATTATATTGGCCAAAGAGTTAACGCTGTTCGGTAAAAAAAAAAAAGAAAGAGAGATACACAAAAAGAGAGGGCGTGATGGAAAGAGTGTGGAGAGTGAGTAAGTCTGGTTGGGAATTGTGGTTTGTTTTGTGCAAACGATTCTGGCAGTTTTCATAGATTAAATTTGATTAGGCCGCATTACCCACAGCCGTAGCGAGCCATCCGCTACGTGATCAACTTATGGCCAGGCAGCCCAGCCATCGTAAAAAGGGTCGTAAAGTCATGACACTGTGGGGACCACCACTAAATGGATTATCGTTTTAATAATTTACAACAAATTTAGTGGAGAGGAAATTAACATTTTGTGGGCTGTGCACTGTGGGATTCGATTTCGGGTTATTACGATGTTTAAAAATGCACAAGAAGTTGCGAAGCGGAACTAACGGAACTAAATTGAACGTTTCTATGATTCTGGGAGAGCCGCGTGGATCGTGAGAGCGAGCGCTAACAGCGCACTGTAAACGTGAACAGGCTGTTAACATGGGCTGTTGACAGCTCTACTGCTCAGTTACAGCGACTGCCTTAAACATTTACTGCTTTCAGCTCATTTAACAACTTGCCAAAGAGATTACACGGGAAAGCCACTTCTACATCGATTGATTTTAAACCCAGCAGACACATTTAATTGACAGTTAACTTCGGTTTATTGTTCTTCAATTACGAAAATACCTCAGTCGACTCAATTAGCAGCTTCTTTGGCGGATTCTATTACTCTACTTCCACTTGAAATCTTTTTCACCCATTTGGTTTGCTTTTTCCCCTGTTTTTCTGCTAACCCCACAAACACACACTCTCTTGCTGGCTTTCATTCATTCATTTACCAACTATTCTGCACATGGCACAGAGAACACATCACCCCCACTTCTCCACACTCGTACACCCGGCCATGCATCACTGTGAACCTAACCCCCACCAGAGCCTGAACACCACACCACCACCAGTAACGTACCTGCAACCAACCAAACACCCAAACCCCCCTCCCTCCAGCTTGCTAATACTTTTATACGTATTTCTCTCTCTTTACTTCTAGTTGTGCTTTTGTATTTGCCAATTTTAATGAGTGTAGAAAGCAAATCCAAAAACCAAACAAAACGAAAACATAAACATAAAAAACAAAATACAGAAACATTAGCAAGAATAACACCTACAACAACACATTATAAAGAATTTTGTACAACAAAAACAAAAACATAATCAAAAAGAAAACTTGCAAACAAAAACTCACTTCCAACAATAACAAAAATAACAGCACGTTTACACAATGTGACAATAACATAGAGAGAGAGCAAAGAGAGTGAGAGAGCACTGAGAGTGAGAGCAAGAGAGCGCACAAAGAGGAATCAAATTGCACCGTTTTAGAATGAGAAAAAGTAACTGAAAAAGCAACAACAACAACAGCAACAACAAGAGCACCAGCAACAGCAACAGTGATAGAAAAACGCACAAGCAAACAAATAAAATGCAAATCAAAAGATTAACAAATATAAATACCATTTAATACAGATAAATACCAGCAGCAGCATTTTTCCCCTCGTCTACTCCTTTGCTTGCCAAATGAATGCCTTTGCACCACTACCAATACACTCTCGGTGTCTCCCGTCGCCTTAGTGTGTCTGTGTAACCTCCCAGCATCTACCCCCGCCCTAGCCACGTATGTGTCCCGCTCCCGCATCCGCCAACAAAATCCACGATCCACGGTGTCCACAAAATCCACAATCCATGGTCTCCGTGTGCGTGTGTGTGTGTGTGTAGCACCCAAGTAGAGACCTAGAGCACGCACCCCACCAAAAATTAATAATACACCAAACCAAAACCAAAGCAAAATCAAAACCAAACCAATTAGCACCATCACAACCACGGTTAAGAAGCAGCAGCAACAAGAAGAAGAAGCAGAACAAGCAGTGCAGCAGCCTGAAGGCAGGTCAGTGTCGTCGCTTCGTGTCAAGGGGGGGGGTGCACGAAAGTAGAAAAAACCCCGAAACCGAAACCGAACCACCACCACCCACTTCCTGGTCCCGAACTGCTCTTCCTCTGATATCTGACAACGGATATCTGATACCACCAAACCAAACCACATACCAGCACCACAATTGCACATTACTACCATAGATACCCCAGGCAGTACTACTACCGCATGGAGCGCGGCGGCACCAGCGGTGGTCAGCAGCAACATCAGCACTCCTCGCAGCAGCAACAGCAGCAGCAGTCGCACCACCAATCGCACCACCAGCGCCACCAGCATGTGGTCGCCGTGCACAGTTATGATCCATATTTGACGGCGGGTGGGGCGGACGAGGAGCATACCTCGGGCACATCGTCTTTTGACAATCCCGCCACGAAGAAGAAACCGCCCAAGCTGAAGCCCATCCATCGATCCCTCTCGATGGCCATCGACAATTATGCGCCCGCTACGTCCTCCGTCTCAATGGGGGATCTTGGTCTGGACATGGATCTTGATCTTGAGTTGGATATGGATGGGCATGGGATACTTATCGGTGATCAGCCGCTGATCCATCGCTCCGCCTCGCCGCTGCCCCTGTCCAGGTCGGCTGTCGCCCTACATCCCTCACCGCAGACCCTAGCCCTCCCAGCACAACAGCAACATCTACCCCATCCAGCCCCCGGTATCCAGCAGCAGCAGCAGCAGCGCGCTGGCAGTGGTGCCGTTTCCCCAGCTCTCTCTGCCCGCCAACAACACCATCACCACCTCCTCCAACAACAACAACAGCTACACCATCAGCATCAACAACAACAACAGAAACATCAACAACAACAACAACAACAACAAGTACACCACCAGCAACAACAACAACAACAACAGATGCATCTGCACACTTTTCAGCATTTGGCCGCACAGGCAGCTGCTGCGCGGCATCCGCAATCGCACCACCAGCAATCGCACCGCCAACATCCCCATACGCATCCGCATCCGCATTCGCATCCGCTTCCGGCTAGCTCACCCACCTCCCACGCGGTGAGCCCAGTGCTCGGCCAGCAGCAGCAGCAGCAGCATCAGCAGCAGCAGCATCGCCAGCAGCCGGACATTTATTTGGTCAGCAGCAGCAGCCTGGGCGATGGTGCGGGCTTGGGTGTGGGTGCGGGAATGGGCCTGGGCATGGGTATGGGCATGGGCATGGGCATGGGCCGCTCGCCGTTGGGCGGGAGCACATCCCCCATACAGTTTATCGATGTGGATGATGTGCCCAACCCGACGGTTGCCGCCGCCGCCGCCGCCCACCGCCCCACGATGCACACCCATCCGCTGAAGAAGAACATGTTCCGGCGCTCCGACACTATTGACGTCCATCCGTCTACCAATTTTCAGATGAAGAAAACCCACTCCTTCCACGCCCAACAGGATCCCGCCGCCCTGGATCAGATACAGTTGGCCGTGTCCGCCGGCTCGGCAGCCTCCAGCCGTCGCACCAGCTCCGTGCGGGGCAACTTCCTGATGCCGGGTCCGCCCGGCGGTGCGGGCGCTGGCAAGGAAATCTCGCGCTCTCCCTCGCCCAGCAGGCGTGGCTGCCGCTCGCATCGCTCGTTCAATGATCCGGGCCGCAGGCCCAGCACGAAGCCCGAGTCCGTGGTGGAGTCACAGATCCGGCATCCCTCGCTGAACGATGACCTCATGGAGCCGATGGACGGACGCAATCTCTTTCCCCCCACCAATCTGTCGCTGGAGAACGAACTCTTCGTGGAGTCGCGTTCGCGCAGCAACAGCCACACGAAGATGGAGGAGCTGGGCCTCGCCCAACTGACTGCCGCCGCTGTGGCCGTGCAGCGACTGCGCAAGGCCTCCGGATCCTTTGAGGATGCGGCAGGCAGCGCCGCCACCCATCCGCCGCCCTCTGCCTCGAACAGCGTGAAGCAGAAACGCGAGCCGCATCCCCACTCCCGCCAGCAGAGCACCCACAGCCTTGAGCTGGACGGACGACCCTCCACATCCGCAGCAGCGGCGGCAGCAGCAGCAGCAGCGGCAGCGGCAGCGGGCGGAGGCCATCCCCACCAGCATCCCCTGCAGCTGCACAGCGCTGCGGCGGCGGCCAGTGCGGCCTTCCACTTCAAGCGAGGGGCACAGCATGGACGCTCGCTCTACCTCTCGCCCAGCAATCTGGAGGAGCTGACGGTGCACCGGCCGGGCGTGCTGGCTGCGGCTGCCGCCTTCCAGGGCACCAACGCCAGTGCGAGCGTGAAGCAGGCAAAGGCGCTGCACAGTGCCAGCATGCGGCTGAGGAGCTATCGGGAGACGCTGAGTGCGTCGAAGAAGTCAAAGAGCTTCATTGGGGATGCGGGCGTGATGCCGGGCGCATCCCAGGCGGACGATGACTTTGAGCTGAGCTCACCCCACCGACGCAACAGTCGTCCGCTGTCGACGGCCGTGCCCGGCACGAGCGTGAATCTGGACGAGATCAAGCGCAGCCCCCGTCCCATTTCGATATCTGCGTCAGCGGCGGCGGCCGCCTTCATCGACGAGAAGCGGCCGAGCTTCGAGCGGAAGTCCTCGCTGAGCTTCGATCAGCACGAGCTGGCGGATGCCGCCTTCGCCGCTCAGGTGCTGCGCCCGTTTCATCACAAGCTGGCCGCCGGGCGGAAAGGCTCTGTGGGCGGGGGCTCGCACAAGCTGAAGAAGAAGTCGCTGAGCGACGAGACGGACGAGGACGAGGAGGCGGATCGCAAGCGCAAGCGAATCGTCTGCATTGTCCTGGCCACCGTGCTCCTGTGCCTTGTATGCGCCAGCGTATTCGTTGTCGTCGTCACGCTCACCTCCGGCACCAGCCAGTCCGGCAAGAAGGCGCACTCCTTCAGCAGAGACACCCCAGTCCACTACACTGGCATGCGGCCATCATGAACTCCAGGAGTGACGAGGAGGAGGAGAATGATGCTTACCCCACGGCTGGCCTGCGACTCGATTTCGTTTTCACTTCCGCTTCGATTTTGTGTTTCTGCATCGTCCCTCCTGCGTTGGGTTCCTGTTTGCAAATTGGGTTTCCTCTGTGTCTCCGGCTTGGACACTGATTCCCCTACAGCCGGATTGGGCCACGGGCAGGAGCAACAGCAGCTGCAACAATCGATTGCGCCTGTAAGTAGGCAATGCCTTTTGTCTAAGGGACTTCTAGCCCCAACCCCCACGATGACAGTGCCTAAGCTCGCGTTCTGTGTGTGTGTGTGTGTGTGTGAAAATAACGGTGATAAATATTTGTAAGCAGTGCAAGAAAACGGTCGCGAGTGAAGGCTTCTTCAAGCTTTAAGTGTAAATAACACGAATACATACATAAATGTACAGAAATGTACGTAAAATGTATGTATGTATGTACCGAGTGCATTGTCATCCCCACACCCCCAACAGCCAGCCCCGAAACAGCCACATCATGCAAATCATTGAACGAGGTCAGGCTATTGCTTTTGGTCCATTGTCAGACACAGCCACACAGCCACACAGCCTCGGTGACTTTCCAACACTGTTACACAGAGTTAGCCACAAAAGACGGCGTGTGGGGGGCTGTGGCCATATGTTCTTATAGACCATAAAGTTGTGTAAATACAAATATGGCCAGGACGACGGCAAGCCAGCAATGCTGGGGATGCCAAACAAAACACAAGTAATTCTCAAATATTGAGCTGGCAAAAGCTCAGCAAAATCCTTCGAGCATTACATAACAGAGACTAACGGACTAACTGGCTAACTCCCACACAGACAGCAGGCAAAGAGGCAAAGAGGCACTGGCTGCGGCTCGAGACACGCAAACGCACACGGGGCATAAAAAGTGATGCCTGTACTTACTTTGCCTTGACTTTAATGACTCTCTGAATGCAGCAGAAGCCGCAGAAGCCAGGAGGGATGCCGCCACAGCAGCAGCAGCAGCAGCAGCAACGGCAGACAAAGCCAAACTAATCAGCACGTGTGTGTGTGTGCGTGTGGCACAAACAACGGTAAACTGGCTCCACAAGGGGGGGGAGGAGCGAGAGACAGCAGCAGCAGGAGACCCTTTCCCTCCTGCCCACTTTTTATGCTCACGCTTAATAGTTTTTCCTTTTGCTTTGTGTGTGTGCCGTGTGTGCGTGTGGGTTTTGCAGCATCATTACGGCACGGTACAGTGGGTTTCCTTTTTATTATCATACATATAAATATGGCGCGGTACACGTCTGTGTCCGTGCAACAGCTCGTGCCGCCGCGACCCTAGTACATGCCACACCACAGCCTTAATTTTACGTTGACGACATGGAAACTAGGTTATATTTTTCATGAGTGAGTGGGTGAAAGTGGCACTGGCGGTGGCAACGAACGAATGGACTGCTGCAACAACAACAACAACGTAAACTAACAGCAATTGTTGTTTATTATGAAAAGCGAGAAAAAGTCGAAGAGCGAAAGGCGAAAGGCAAACCCATCCATGCCCCATGACAGTGCTGACGGCCCGCGCGGAGTTCAGTTCAGGCTGCAATGGCCTTGGCGACAGGCAACAGCCAACAGCCATCAGCCTTCTGTTGCTAAAGTACCCCAAATGACACACCCAGCCAAAAAGTTGGCTGCCAAATTCCCACACCAAATAGGCAAGCAAATTGGGCAGTTCCGTGCCAGCGGGAGCCTGCTTTAGACCAACTAAAAAGTGAGCAAAGCAAGTTCATTTTTAAGGGGAAAGTTCTGGCAGTTCTGCCCAACAAATTAACTCCTTCGCAACGCATTCCTCTCTTCTGTTTGTTGTTCTGTTCTGTTGTACATCAATAACTTTCCCTTTCCACTGTTATTATTATTATTACAATTATTGTTTGAATGAAACCTTTCTGTTCTGAGACCTAGCAAAAAGGATAACAAATTGCAAGCCATTCGGCTGAGAGTGAAAGCCAGAAAAGTGCATCAATAAATTCAATTTGAGGGGCACAATGGCAGCGAGCAGCGATTCCCAGTCCCTGGCAACTAATTAGTGGCCGCTCTTCATCCGTCATGGCTGCACATCCAGGCCCAGGTGGGGGGGGGAGCAGCAGCCCACCAGCAACAGGCTACGGCAGGAGGCAGATTGGCGTGATAGTTAGAGGCCAGGGAATGTGGCAAGTGCCAAGGGAGTTGGGAGGAAGGGTAAGAGCTGAGGGCTGTGCTTTCAACACCACATTTATAATTAAACAACATGAAAGACAAAGAGCCACAGAATGATGGAGCGAGACAGAGTCAGGCACAAGGCACAGGGCACAAGCCACACAATGATTGAGCGAGACAGAGGCTGAGCCACGAGCCAGGAGCCACGAGCCAAGAATAGAAGGAGCAGGCAACAGATTGTGGGCTGGGGGGAGTGGTGCGGCTTGGGTGTGTGGCACACAAAGTTTCCTCGGCAGCATTTATGAGCCCCAGCGTAATGGCTGTTAACAATTTAACTTGTTTACCTGTGGGAAAGTTATATGTTAATTGGTCTCTCACACAGTGAGCCGCAACAACCGCCCTAGCAGCACGTGGACACGAACAGGATACGGACACGACACGGACACGTTACGGACACGCGAGTGTGTAGGCCGAAAACGCACAGGGTGTCGAATGGGAGTCATTTTGTAGCAGAAGTTAAGGGGCAGAATGTTAGTTTGTGGAGTGGAAAATAAAGTTAAGGAATTGCACAAAAATATTTACCCGATTCTTGCAGTTTATAGATAAACCCCTTCCTAAGATATTCCCCAGTTAAAGGAGGATGATCCCGGAGTAAGCATACAAAATGCGTTTTACTATGTCCAGCTACTCACTGCAAGCAATCTGGAGAGCGAGACGAGGCAAGGGGCAGTGTGCCTGAGTAGCTGCCACAGCAACAGCAACAACAGCAACAAAAGCAGCCGCAAACAGCACTTGGCCAAGTGAATAATGGCAGCCATCATCACCTGGGCCAGGACCCAAACAGCCTGCCATCTCTCTCTCTCTCTCGCTCTGCAAGTCTGCACTCTCCGCCCATTCTGCACTGCCTGCCTGGGCATTAACACGTTGCGATTACGCCTCATAGCCTATGCAAAGGCACGAGCCATGGGACCGAGCATGGACCAAGGGGGATTCATGCCTGGACAGAGTTTAGCCATGGCTGCTGGTGCCCCCACGCCACACACACACACATACGCTCTTCTCTCTGTGTGTGTGTGTTTGCGGCCTTTGCTCCATTTACTCATATGAGTTTGATGACGACAGCAGCAGCAACAGCGAGTCTTGTGTGGCTGCAGCAGTTTGTTGCATCACTTTAAAGTCTGTCCCTGCCCCACTGTGTGCCACTGCCACTCTGCTGAGCCTTAAAATGTTATTACTAATTTTTGCAATTAAATGAAAAGCGTAAAATGTTAAATTACTTAAATGTTTGCACTGTCCTTGCCGCCATCTTTGTGTGTGTGTGTAAGTGTATTTGTGTTGGTTTTCGTTTGGGCACCCATTTGGGGCAAGTATTTTTTAATTAAATTTCTGGGCGCGAGCTCATTTTGCAGAGAGTATGCGAGGCATGGCAACAAAATGCAGCAAAAAGTATTAGCAATGCAGCAACTGGCGGGGGAGTGGGCACAGGGCACAGGGAACGGGGAAATCAATCAACTAACAATTGTCGAAATATGCCAAAATATATTTCATACCTTATCGGACAGGCAAACACAATCACACAACTGGACTGTGAGCTGTGAGCTGTGACCTGTGTGTGGCTGTTGCCTTGTGATTGATTGGCAAACAACTTTTTGACACTTTACACAGCACCAACAAGGAGGGGGGAAACAACACAGCGCTCATCCCTGCAAGCCACCTGCCCCTCTGCCAAACTCCCAATTTGTTCAGCGTTAATTAAAACTGCTGTAAAATGCACAAAAGCGTTGAGCAAACAACAACCGCGGACGCAGAAGGGAACGTGTCAGCAGTGGGGCGTTTGCAAACACAAAGGGGTGTGTGCGGGGGTGTGTGTGTGTGGAGAGATACATGCTCGAACAATACGTACATTTATCGTGTCATATCGGAGCAACAAAATAAAAAGCGGGAACGGAAACGGAAACGGCAATCGTAGCCGTAAAACCGTAACTGAAACTGAAACAGAAACAGAAACAGAAACAAAGCGGGGAAAGTGGGTTGGGGGAAAATGCAACACGGTTAAGGAAACAAGAACACACGAGTACAAAATAATGTTGGACTGTGCTTAAAGTAAATAGTCTGGATTGATGAAAGTTTATATTCAAGAATTCATCAACAGGCATTTACTTCAACTGCAGTTTAAACGAAAAGCAACTGGGATAAATAACGCAGACGTGCAGTGAATCCTTCGATTTATAACTTGTTCCATTAGCATTCGAAATATCTATATGCATTTCTGAAGACACTTGTTTATGCCCCCCACTGATGCTATTCACTCTCCTCTTTCTTGCCTTCCTACTGACAGTCCGACAGGAGAACGAGCGAAGCATCAGGGAGAACATGGAGCGCACGCGAATGATGAAGAATCGCACGGAGCTGAACATGGCGCGACAACATCTGATGGAAATGCATATGCACGTTCCATAACAGCAGCCAAGGAGCAACAGGAGCATCCCCAGCAGCACCCAATCATCGGCAGGAAGGAAGTAAGGGCCACGATACCACGACCAAGACAAGGCAACAAGTTTGTGACAAGGCCAAAAAGGGGGAAGTACCAAGCGCTCTTCCTTCCGCTGCAGCTCTCTGCTCCTTCGCTATCTTCCATTGACCCTCCCTCCACACAAATGTTATGCGCACAAAGGTAAAAATAATAACAATAAAAACAAACGAATCAAAGGAATAGAAATGCAACAGAAGGGCGTGCTCCCCGACCTGCCACTTGTTTTTGTATCTCAAATGTGCGAATTGGAAGCGCGATTTAAACCAAAAATAAATGTTAAAGCGTAAAGTAAAACCAAAAGTGATCCAGTCTAGTCAATAGTCAAAAACAAATGTTGTTAATAGAGTTTGCTGATCGCTATTTAAGTGCAGTCCGAACTGGTTGGAAAGCTAAACAAAATAATTTCAAACTTGAATATTTTGATTGGTTTTTTAATTAACTATTCCCAGAGCCAACCAGAAGGGATTGTTGTTCTGTTTGTAATTGTTGTGCCGGATCTGTCGACGCCAAATCTCTCTGCGAGCAAAGGTTTCGATTTCGATTGGTTTCCAAATGCTTTTTATTTTTCTTTTGGCTTAGCTTTTACCCATTTGGTTATTTGGCGTCGATGGAGGACTAAAAGTTGGTCAGTAGTTATGTGTGTATCGAAACTAAGTTGTTAACTGAATAAAAAGTAATCCTAAGTAAATGTTAAAGAACGTAAAAGCAAAGAAAAAAGTAAATGCAGCTGAAAACGGAACTAGGAACAGGCAAAACAGAGGCAAACAGAGCGAAACATTTCGTATAAAGTAACAATAATAATACTATGAAGCATAACTGAAGCAAAAGAACAGAGAGATTAAACGCGCAATGAATCGTTGTATAGCCGTAAATAAACACTAAAGCTAAAACTAAAACTAAATACAAATAATTAGCAGATGAGTAAATAAATGTTAGGAAATGTAGCGGATCGATGTGAAAAAAGAACAAAAAACTGTTACTTAAGTGCAAAACGAGCTTGTTGTCGAATTAATTTTAAAAATGTTTATTACATTAAGTGACAAAAACTAAGCGTAAAGGTTTAAATGTGTTTTTTTAGGTGTTCAACTGTTGCAAACTAATTTTGTGGCCCCAGGGGCGGCAGAAGCATTTCAGATCGCTGTGTATCATACGAGTATATAAATACATACATTAACTACATATACATATACATATATGTATATTACTATATTTAATTTCATGTTTTCCTATGCTAACTCAGTTGCAGGTTTAGCTTGAAGCATAATCATATCGGTTTCAGCATTGGCGGCTTGGCAAAGATTGTGAATTTGCATCCAGCCCCCGAACCTATGCTCCCCTCTTCACTACCATCTCCTCTTGAGTGTTTTTCCAAGCGGCAAACACTTGCCAAACGATTTTGTGTCCGGGCACAGTCAATTAATTGGAATTAAACAGCTGCAGACAACACTGACTGGCTGTCTCGTCCCTGGGCTTTACATGCATATGTACATAAAACATACATAAATACATACATACGAGTATATACGAGTAGAAACTGGAGTTTCAGTGTGGGGTTGGGGCAGAGGTTTGTTGAAGACAAAGCTTTAAATTAGCTCAATAAATTGCAGAAGTAAACATTGAAATTGCATTAAACCGGATCCGGCGTTGAGTGCATTACGCGACGGACGAAAGACAGAAAAACACAAGCACGGAGACACAGATACAGCTACAGCTTAACAGATTTCGAGAATTTGCATTTCGGCCAAGGAATCAATTTCACATTTGACCAGAGAACAAATATGGCCAAGACACAAACACACACACACACACACACACACACACTGACACAACATAATCTATAGATAAACGAGAAAAAGTACGGTACTTAGCCAAGGCATTTAGGGGGGCATCAAACGAATGGGTTGGGGAAATGTATCAGCTGGCAGAGAGAGAGAGAGAGAGAGAGAGAGATGTGTACATACATCGTAAGTACTTACTTGGGGGTTTGGCAGACAACAAATAAAAACACTAATTTAACCGATGCAACAAACAAAACAAACAAAAAAATTAATAAACTAACGTAAATTGTCTGTAATTGTGCGTAGATGCGTAAGTGTGTAAATTGTAAGCTGAATTATTATACAATAAAAATACAAAAATAATAATGAAAACCAAAACTACGTTCAGCCGAAGCGAAGCCACTGAGCGGCACGGCAACACTGGAAAAATACTCGTAACATTTGTAAGCCAGAAATAAACAGTAATAAACAGACAAAACAGAATAACGGTAAACAGTAAACACAGTTTAAGCGCAAACTGCAAAAACAGAATATTAAGTATTAAATGTACCACAATCAAAATTGTTTCCCCCGAAAAATCAAACTTTTTAGCCTTTGAACGTGAGACTTTGGTGCCCAAAAATCAATTTTGAGCAATTATTTACAATGAAAATACGAAAGAAAACTCATACACACAGACACACACTAATGTAAATAGCAAAGCGGCAAACGGTGGCAAAAACAATAAATACAACAAAATGGGCTTGCTGCAAACCGCATAAATAAATATTAAATTAATTAACAACGGAAATCAAAAGATACCGAGAAAAACACACACACAAACAACACACACACACACACACACGCGCAGAAAAAAAGGAAAAACTGATGAAACTTCAAAACCTGATGCACAGGCATCAACTTTAACTGTTAATTGTTGCTCGAAATAAACGTAAACGTAAAAACAAATACAATACATAAATAATTATAAACGAACAAGAAATTAACACACAAATAACAAAAAAAGTAAATTTGAGCGCATTCAGCGTTTTATTCATCAAAGCAGAAAATGTTGAATCAAAAAAATCGAATTGTGTCACATGTGTAGTATAAATCTCAGAATGTATTTGTAACTGGAAGAGTATTGAAATGCGCAACAAGAATTCAAAAATCAAATGAAAATAAACTGAATTTACAAATGGATGAAATTGCTTTGCATTCAGCGTTGATTTATTTCCTTCTTGGGCGGGTGCTCGCTAAAATGGTAACGAGGATATAAGTAATTGCTCTATTACATTTAACATTTTGAAAACTGTAATAGGCTAACAGTGGAAGCTGCTGTTAAAGAACATAAATGAACAGCGCCACCTCGTGATGAAGTGCAGAGACAGATAATAGAAGGTTCATAAGTAGATGTCGACACTGCAATATGTAAACCAATTTCATACCAGTCAGCTCTCGTCAGCAGAGTGGCTTATGAAATGTAGTGCCTTGTACAGGGTTTGTGAAACATTGTAGGCATGGGGAAGAGAATGCACTGAGGTAATTTAAGTCATTTAATATACATTAAATTATCTTTTCATACAATATTTTTCAAATACACATAATGCTTCGAAATGGGTGCATTCGACAAGAGTACTGACAAGTACTGAAGGACAATAAAATACTAATATGAGCTCAACAAGGTTATAGTAAAAGTGGAGGACTCAATGCCACCAGTGCTGAAGATCAGGAATAGAAAATAGAGGGCGCCACAAAGTTATAAAAAACGGATACAAATTTTCGATTTTGACTGTTCTTTTTAATATTAATAGCCGGCAACGCTCTCAGCCCACAGACAATTGATTAATAAGTCAAATAAAACTATATTTTGAGAGCTGACCGTGATTTCCAGCAAAAATTGTTAAGTCGAACATCAAAATCGACGAATATGGTCCAATATGAACACAAATCGGTATATTTACGGTATATTTCTAAAAGAGAGAGAGTATATTTTGGTATTTCTTTGAGGTTCAGACGCGGTGCTGCCAAACAAGCTTTCGAAAAAGCAAGAAATAGCCAGTAAATAACACCACTAACAGTATACTCGAGTATTGGATTGTATGGTTAATGATGCTTGAAAGATCAGTCTGGCATCGCACAGCATACTGCTATAATTCACACTTGTATCCCGCCAACTGAAAAGCATTGCTTTGTGTGAAAGCTAAATTGGCAACACTGGAATACTTTATCGATAGGTCCACGGTCACACTGATCTCGCGATCAGTTCATAAAAAAAAATGAAACAATTCGAATTAATTTGCAATTACCGAGACAAATAGAGTGCGAAAATATAAACAGCAGCAGCTGTGCATATATGTAGTTTTCCCTGAACAAACTGAACCAAAATAAACAACAGTGCCGCGAAGAGGAAGAGCAGAAAAGCGCGAGCCAGCGAGCCTCAACGACGACAACGCAGCAGCAGAAACATATTTCAAAAGCAGAACCAGAACGAGTCGCAGAAAACAGAAAAACAACAATCCGCAGCCAGAGCAGGTCGCGCCGTCTGTCTCGTCTCGAACAACGCTATTAAAATTTATTTTTGTGCTTAGGCGCGTGTATGTGTGTGTGTGTGTCAGTGGCAGTGTCCGTGTGTGCATAATAATATTTAAACAAAATCATCTGCGCAGGTAGCAGACGAAAGCGCAGACGGTCGAAAAAGGCTGAGCAGACAGATAAACAACACAAAACGGTCGGCGCTTGCTCTCTGGTGACGGTGACGACGCGGCACAACCAAGGCAAGGTGCTGGAGGTCACTCTCGCCACATTTCGCGCACGGCCGTTTCGTCCGTCATCGGGCAGCAACCCCCCCGGCAGCACCACCCACCCAACCCGCACGCGAACGCCCGCCTGGTAACATCCAGTTTCATCCGCCCGCGTCCGCAACGTGGGGCCACGATCAAACGGAAGAGTGAAGGAGGAAGCCAGAAAGCGAGAAGACAAAACAAAAAAAAAACAAAAGCAAACTCACGCGCTTCTCTTTTATTGTTGGTTTGGTCTCCCCACTGATAAACGGTTTCGCTATCGTTGATAAACATCACAGGGAGGCAGGCAGTCAGCCACACAAACACCAATTATTCCAATCAAATAAACGCCAAGTGCGAATGCGCCCTCGATTTGTATGCCAGCAGCAGCAGCAGCAGCAGCACCACTCAAACCCGACAATCCATACCCCAACCCATAGTCATACCCATCATAACCATACCCATAGCAGCGCCACTGACGTCAGTGGCTTGACTTGGGATCGGAATCTGAATCGGCAGCAGCGTTATCGTTATCCGAACATGGTTGTGCCAGAGGAGCCGGGCTCGGGAGGGGGCTTTAATCAGACCCCATTATCGGAGCTAAGTGCGGATACGCGCAATCAACTGGGCCGCATGCTCAACCGCAAAAAGGTGCTCCACTCGGAGGAGGGTTACGAGCGGGACTGGCGGGGCATCGCCGCCCTCGCCCACCAACGCGGCTTTGTCGAGGAGTACGCCAACAATCCGATGGATTTGGTGCTGAGCAGCTGGAGCCAGCGCAATCCGGAGACAGCCAAGGTCGGGCATCTGGAGCACTTTCTGGGCATCATCGATCGCTGGGATGTGTGCGATGACATCCAGGAGAATCTGAGTAGGTGCCGGCCACAATCCACGTTCCCCCCTGTTCGTCTCTAGCTAATCTCCCTCTGATCTGTGCAGTCAAGGACACGCGACGCTACACTGTGAGGCAGGAGCAGCAGCAGGCGCTGGTGGAGGCCAATCGTCCGCCCACACTCGCCGAGACCAACAACAACTACAACAGCAACACCAGCAACAACAACAACATCACAATGGGTCAGAGTGTCCAGATCCTGAGCGACGATGACCAGCGATGCGTGCAAATGGGCCAGCCCCTGCCCAGGTACAATGCCTGCGTGCTGTACGCGGAAGCGGACATTGATCATGCCACAGAGATCATGAATCACCTGGAGTCTGAGCGTTACAATCTCAAGGTGAGTCCTCAGATCAGTCGTTTGTGTGTCCACCTAACTGAAGGGGGTTGCCCTTCCAGCTGTTCCTGCGACATCGCGACATGCTCATGGGCGTGCCCTTCGAGCACGTGCAGCTGTCCCACTTCATGGCCACCCGCTGCAACCATTTGATTGTCGTGCTCACCGAGGAGTTTCTCCGTAGTCCGGAGAACACGTATCTCGTCAACTTTACCCAAAAGATACAGATCGGTGAGTGCGCCCAGTGTGCATGGCATGCAACCAGCTCGGGGGCCAGTTAGAATTACAGTTTCCTCCCCCATCGTTTCGCAGAGAATCACACGCGAAAGATCATACCCATACTGTACAAGCCCGACATGCACATACCGCAGACGCTGGGCATTTACACACACATCAAGTACGCCGGCGACTCGAAGCTATATAATTTCTGGGATAAGCTGGCCCGATCGCTGCACGATCTGGATGCCTTCTCCATATACTCGTCGCGGCAAGTGCAAACGTGAGTTCGGATTACCATTTGTCCATTCCCTTTCTGTTCTCAGTAAATCAAAGTAAACACTTCAGACCCTCGCCGACGGAGGAGCTGCCGCCACATCGTGTGACCACGCCCAGCATACGGATACAGATCAACGACAAGGATGTCACCGATTTGCCCAACTACAGCTACAAGGCGCTCGAGGAGGATGCCACTATTGTGTCGATGACAGGCGACACCAGCACCCCGCTGCCGGAGCCCAAGCCCAAGCGGAAGGACAAATTGTTTGGCAAAATAAAGATTAGCTTTGGCAAGACGCCGCGCAACGTGAATGGCACGGGGGGTAAGCCATTGCGGCATGCGCACTCAATTAGCACCATAAATGTCACGGAACGCGAGCGTACGCTAAGCGCCAGCAGCTCAAACATCTCCACGACATCGGAGAGCAAGAAGAGTTCCATTAAGTGGCAGCCGAGCATTCTAAAGAAGGTGTTGTTCTCGCGCAGCAGCAGCAAGCTGCAGACACCAGGATGATAAACGCTTCTAGTTACTTCGGACTAACAGCAGAGCAGCTCATTTAATTCCCCAAAATTCCCTTTACTTGTGCCCAAATCCAAGTCCAAGTCCAGCCCCAGTCAACGTTCGTCACCCTCCATGTTTTAGTGATAATCTTCTAGTGTAATCCTAATCAAAAGCCAACTAACTTAATATACTTAGACGCACTTGTTAACTTATATAAGACAACAACGAATAAAGACAATACCATATACACAGAGACACACACAGGAAACGTAACCCTAGATACGATGATATGATGGATGAATGATCTGATAAACAGACAATTGAGTGAGTGACTGAGTGGAGGTTAAATGTGGCAAGCACACACACACACTGCTATTGCTAATCGAGGCAAACAATTAACGTGTCTGTTAGTCACGCGTTCGATAAGTGGAACTTACTTAATTCAATTAACTGGACCAACACCCGTAAACACTAAGCACTAAGCACCTACCCACTCAACCCCACATTGCACCACAGACACAGACAGATGGCATGCCTCCCCTCTTATCTAAGATGAGTAACTCTACGAAATGTGTCTCCTATATATAGATATATCTGTATAGTATATTGTCTGAGCTGTTTCTTTATTCCTATGTACACAACTTTATCGGTTTTGTTGTTCTTTGTGTGATGATTAGGGCCTTAGCTTTAACTATTTAACTGATTGTAGCCGATTTAATGGGAACTTAATGTACATAATGTACGCTTTATATAGAAAGATAAACAACAGTGCGATTCATAGCTGTGATTGATGTTTGGAAATTTACTTAGACGTCTAGCTTGATGCTTGGAATTTTGCTTATAAATGAATTTAATCGCTCAACGAGTTCAAGCTGTCTGACCTTCGCAACGTTTATCTCCGTGCCTATGAAACGCACTGTAAACTGTAAGCGCAACGCCGAGTGAGTAAGAGATCGATTCCCCCACAGAGTTGAGCGTGAAATAAACTGTTCAATGTTTGGCTCAATAATTTATTGTGGAACGTGTAGACAACCTTTAGTTCTCGTCTCGTTGGATGTTTAATAAACAGTGTGTGAATCCCCCCAGCCACGAATGCCATATGTACGAGTACATCGTGTATACAGATCGGTTGATGGTTAGGGGCATGGGGATTTGGATGTTTATCAACCAGTTCCGGTTAATCTATAAGACAAATTTCAAATTCTGTTTAAATTTGTATTTTTTTTCTCGTTTTATTTATTTTTCGTTTTTATTGTTTAAATCGCTTCATAAATAACCTTTTTGTTGTTGTAATTTTCTTGTTCATGTTGTTTTTTTTTGTTGTTTGTTTTTGTAATCGAATTTTATTGTTATTTGTTTTTCGTTTTTTTGTATTAATTTTTATTTTTACGTTTTTTACCCATCGTGAAATGTTGTTAATTTTAGCTGATTCTCAATGTTATATGAACTTTTTACTTGTGTGTGTGTGTGTGTGTGTTTTTTGTTTTGTTTCGCTTTCGTTTGTAGGTTTTTTCTTTTCCGTTTTCCATTTTTTGTTGTTGTTGTGTGTGTGTTTGGGAGTGTGTTGTTTGTGGGTTTCTCTTAGTCACATGTTTTTAATGTTTATCCATGCTTTTTATTATAATTATTATTATGTATATAACGTAATGTTTTAATAATAGCTCCTATCCTCGATTATCCTCGATCCCCTCCTCGCTCATACTCGCTATTCCTTTACTCGCTTCTCGCTACTCGCCGGAACAAATTTAGTCGCCTTTCGTCCCTATATTCGATTCGATTCCTCCCAAAAACTGTTTGAGCCTCTTGATCTTTAAACTTTGCTTTTAATTGAATTCATGAATTTTCTTTTCTCTTGCTCAATGTTTTATGTTGTATGTGTGTGTGTGTGTTATATATATAATTTGTTTTTTTTTATAAATGTTAATCTGTTATATTTTGTTGTTAATCTCGCATCATTCGCCTCTGCTTTTCTTTTCTTTTCTTTTGCTTTGCTTTTTTCTTTAGTTTTAGTTTTATTTTAATGCCTTTGTTTATCGTTTAACAAAATGAATAAAAACAATTTGCAATATGTTTTTTCGTTTGGTTTTCTTTTCTTCTTTGTTTTCCTTTGTTGTATATGCTAATTGATCAATTTATTCGTAATATTTCGCACTATTAAAACAATTTAACGCATAATCTCTGGCATCTCATCGTCTCGGCTGCCTGCAACAATGACTCTTCCTCTAAGGCTCTTACTTCCCCCCTGACCTGCCATCTAGTATGGAGTATTACGAGTACAATGCATTTAACCGGGAAGATTCGGAATGTTTCTCCGTTCGTTTCCGCTTTTACTTTGCAGCACATTTTGTTGCTTTGTTTTGTTTTGTTTTGTTTTGTGTGTTTGTGTTTTTTTATTCATCTTATAAATCTAACTGATTGCATTTACACAGAGTGTGTGACAAGTCTGAGAGTCTGAGGGGTCGGGACCTTTTTCCTTGGGGGATCAACAGAACCTGAACTAAACTCAACGATTGATTGATGTGAGGTGTGTGGTGTGGTGTGTGTGTCAAGATTCCATGTGTTGTATGGTGTGTGGTTTATGTCTCTTAAAGCGTTATCCTCTATAGTTAATTGTTAACAATGATTATGATTATGGAAGTCAGTTGAAGAAGTCTGTAATCAGTATGGAAGCTGAGTGCTGCTGCGGAATCTCAAGTTTTTTTTATACTTATGCAATAGTATGGATCGTTTCTACACACGCAGAAATTTTCACGACTTCCACCTCACTCGTTCGGACTCCATTCCACACCACTCCCTTTTTCTGTACTCTGCGGCTTAATCATCAAGTATATATATATACTATATGGTATACATATACATATCGTATGTACATACATCTGTATATATGTTTGTATCGTGTTTCGGGTTGCACATTCTCGACTTAATAATAAATTAAAACAACGCTAATGAATTTGTTTTCCTTCCGCTAATTGTGAGTTCTCGTTTTTTGTCGCTTTCGTTACGGAGCCCCCAACAACCAGCCCAGTCAGCCCATGCCAGTCCATCCTTCCGGACGTGCTCTGCTCTCTGCTCAACTTTCCACTTATTATCGTTATCAATTATCAATTTCTCATTTAATTTTTGTTACATACATACTAGGGGTTTTCTTTCGCTTTGATCTATTTATATCTTTGTCGGTTTTTTGTATGCTTCGTTTTGTGCCTTGGACAAATGCATGTTTAAAAAATCATTTCGTTATTAATGTACCTTAGTTTTTCATTGTTATTTGTTTGTTATTTATTTTTTGTATCATTTCTGTTTTGGTTGTTTGTTTTTTTTGTAGCACAAGACAGGCGTGTGATTGATCTTAACTGTGGAAGTGATTGCGTTTATTTGTCCATTTGTTTGCTTTCTTTTTGTTTGCTTCTTAATGCTTCTCGAGGCGCACGCGTGACGGATCAGATGGCGATCAGACAACGGGGAAGTTGATAAAAACGTGGAAAGAGGACAGAGCGAGATCGTTGCGAGCAAACGTAGACCAGCTACGACTGCCAGGGAAGAGAAAGAAATACGATTACGATTCAGATTTAGATTTTTGTGCTTTTCGTTTCGTTTCGTTTCGTTTCGAAAACCGTTTGTACTCGTACAACTTCGATTTTGCACTCGGATTTAGCAATAACAATTCTATAGTTTAACCAATGACATCGATACGCTTTTTATTTCGTTTTACATCTAACTGTACTTTGTCTAAGCTAAGGGGGGCGCCACCCTTCCGTTGCAGCTCTTGATTGCGTGACACCCGAACTATCAAACTCAACGTGGGGGAAACGGTATGGGAACTTGGACAAAGGCCATGATGAATCAATCTATAGTACATTGTCATGTGATGGTGTCGGGCTTTTTGGCAGTGTTTTTGTTTCTTGATGCGCACACACATCTCTTTCTATAATTCTAATTTCGATTTGCTCCCTCTTCTCTGATATTTCCGCCTAGGAACATGGGACATAGATGGGTTGCTCAACTCAATGTGTGACGATGGGGCGCTACATAATTACTTCGATATCAGAGGCAGTTTGCGGAGCAGTTTTCTTATTGTTTTCACTTGTTTGAACGCTTATTGCGTTTTACAACACTACAACTAACGGCAGTTTCGCATTGAGGATTTCAGAGTGGGAATTATGTATGGCAAATGTAACAAATGTAATTGTAATCATAATTCTAGATGCTTTTTATGCATAGTAAAGTGAAGGAACTGTGAAGGAATTATGGAATACGATACACCGATTTAACATTTTAGACATTTTTGCATTCAGTTTACATTCAGTTTTGTTTCATCTTTTTTTGGGGCCTCTTCTTCTCAACAATAATTTATAGTCTCTGTTATCTTCTCTTTTGGCAACTTAGAGTTTACGTGATTTAGATTAGATCTCGACTTGTGTGTGTGTTCGTGTCGGTGTGCAAGTGACGCTCGTAGTCGGAGTCGCAGTCGGAGTCCAACTAAATAAGGCTTCGTTTTGGCATGCGGTACACGGAACATGGAACATTGAACATGGAATGACTTCTTTTTTTGTATACAACAACAATAACAACAAAGTGGGGTGAGAATCGGTTTGGTGTGTGTGTTATTGGGGGGAGGCGCGATATTATGCAAAAAGTGCTCTTTGTTTTTGTGGTTTTTGTTTTTGGGGGTTCGGTTCATCGTTTTCAATATCGCTAATTCACTCGCTAAATGCTACAAAAACTGCGTTTACCCATGGGTAAAAGGGGTTTACCTTTTGTCTTCGTGTCTTGTGTGTGTTTTTTTGGGGACTGAATTTAGTTTATGCTTACTTCACTATTGTACAATGTGCGACTTGCATTATTATTATATTCTCATATTAATTTTTCTTTTATATATATATGTAATGTATGTTCGTCTCGTGTCTGTCTGTGTTAGATGCAGCCTCCCGTTTTCCTATAATTTTTCACTTGTAAAATGCGCTAGTTTATTGATACCTTTTCTGATCTGAGCATTATCTATCTGCAAATGTGACTATGAATGGGTGTTGTGTGTTTTTTGCATTTGCCCGTATCTGGTTTCATTTAAATTCTATCCTCCTCGTCCTCCTCCTCTTCCTCCTCCTCGACCTCTTCGCCGTTCTCCTCGAGCTCCTCCTTATAGCCGGGATGCTCGGATATGGCATAGTAGTTGCCATTGTAGATGACGCCCAGCTCGCGGAGTGCATCGCCGCGTATTGTCGCCTTTATCGTCCAGTTGTAGCAGTCATCCGACTCGGACTCGCGATCCAGACGCTCCACGTCGAGTATCTTGGAGTTGAGGCGCTCCAGTATGATGCCGATGTCCTTGATGCTCAGATGACGCTTCTGGTCCACTGATAACTGATCGATCAGCAGCAGAAATTTCTCGGTCGTCGTCTTATCGTCCTCCATCACCGTGTTCTCCGTTTCGCTCTCGGAGCTGTCCCGCTCGGGGGCAATGTCCAGGAAGCGCACGTGACCCTTGGTGCCCGAGGAGCGTCGCATACTGCCGCTGCCGCCCAGCATAGGATCCATAACCGATGATGACATGGCCAGCGTCGCTGCCGGCTGGGGACTGCTGCTCCCATCCTGGATGGGCGACGTGGCCACGCTCTTGTGCACGGCTATCTTGCGCCCCTCCTCGTGCAGTGCGCAGCAGTGGAAGTCGCATTCCGTGGTGCTGGGGCTGCCAGCCCTGCTGGGCGTATGGGCATGATGGGCGCACTCTGGCGTGTGCACATGCACAGCGCCCACGCCCACGGTGCTGTCAAAGGAGCTGCCCTGCTTGGAGAGGCGCCTGCTGCCGCCGGGTATCACAACTCCTGGCGGCAGGACCACTCCGCCGGGATGGTATATACTCGCCGGTCCCTCGTCGCTGATCACCGTTATTTGTGGGCTGGCATAGCGCGGCTGCGACGATTGCGACGACACCGACTTGTTGTCCAGCGAACTCTGTGCGGAGAGGCCCTTCTTCGAGGGCGAATACTTGTCGGAGGAGAGCAGCCCATTGCTGCTGCCCAGGCCGGAGCATACATTACCGCCGACGCCACCACCACCACCACCTCCTCCACCACTGCTGCCGCCACCCTGCCGCTGATCCCAGTGCAGGACGACCGTGACACGCCCTTTGTTATCCATAATCTTCCACGATGGTGTCTCATCGTGCAGTTCCAGTGCATGAATCGTCTCACAGACGATTTTCGGTATAGCTGATATGGCTGCAACAGAGAGGATTAGTTTGGTATTGGTGTGGGGGGGAGAGAATGGTTTTGGATCTGGGTTGTGGGCAGACTTACCAGCCTTTATGACATCCACTCCAGTTGGATACCAACGTTCGCCCTGCCTCAACAGCAACAAGACCGTATTGTTGGCCAGGGTGCGAAAGTATTCGCCATCCTCAATTTGGGTTCCATCGCACTCCAGAACAACTCGCACTGGTTCTGAAGCAGGAACCCCCAACTTGTCCTTGCCGCGCACCAATAGCTCCTCAAATGTGCCAACTACAACGCCTTTACGCACATTCCGCCAACTGTCCCAGATTTTCAGTGGTCTCTTGCCGCGAGACTCCTGCCGAAGAGGAAAAAACAAATTTAGATTAGTCGACGCAGGCGGATTATGTACAATGTATGTACTATGCATGAAGGATGTATGTATGTATGTGTGTGATGTAGTGGGAGTTCCATTTGGGGCGTGACACCTGTGCAACGCTGCGCAGCCAATTCACAAGTGGGTGTGGCATATCAGAGCAGATCCCAGCCCCCAGGGCAGCGTCATAACATCTTCCGCCCACTAATTGTGGTTTGTGCTCGTTAAAAGGGCGCAAATGTCAAGGCCACAACAGCCAGCAGGAGGCAGCAGTAGACCGCAGGAGGTCTGGCCACGCAGCTTTTCCAAGGGGGAAATTGATTGAAGGGATCCCAGCCCAAATCTGGCATTTTTTGCAACAACCCAAAACAAAAGCAAACACAAAAATGCAGAAAAAAACCCAATTAAAATGCTTAGAAAAGGAAGCAACAAAACAAAGGGAGAAGACGAGGAAGCAGCGTAAACGGTTAACAGCGGACACAGCTGCGGGCTGTTAATCAAGTAGCAGTTAACAGTAGCAGTAACAGTAACAGAATGAAGGAAGAACAACAAGATGCAGGCAGCAGCAGCTGCAATGTAAAACCAATAACAGTAGAAGCAGCAGCTGCAATGTAAAACCAATAACAGTAGAAGCAGCAGCAGCAGCAGCAGCAGCAGCAAAAATAGAGGCGAAAAGGGGGACAGCAAATAGGAGGATGGAGAGGAGAGTGTTAGGGAGAGCAAGGCGAAGAAGAGGCAGCTCCAATGTTTAATGTATTGCAAGGACATGAGTGTGGCGCTCCAGTGACCCAGTAACGAGTGCAGCACACGAGCTAAATAATATAAAAGGAAGCTCTCTCTTTCTCATTCCCTCTCTCTCTCTTTCATACATATAGAAGCCCTGCATCAGCCCCATCATCCATCTGTGGCAAAAATAAAATGTTTGAAAAATTACAAAAAATTCATTCTGACATTTTCAGCTCGACGCCAAAAATACAAAACAGAAGAACAAAAAAAAAAAACAAAAAACAGCGAAAACTTTTCATAAAATATTTCATTTCTTTTCGTTTTTTCTTTTTCGCCCCCGTCCTGTGGGATAGGTCAGTGCTGCGCCCAATGCCATATGGCCCAATGGCTGGCTGGCCGCACGTCTTGCAGCACAGCGAAAGAGAGAGTGAAAGCGCAAATGGTGATTGGGTGGGGGGCAGTGAGCATTATAAAATTTCAAATTAATAAATGAATAAACAGCGCCAGACGAAATGTGGAATACCCCTCGACTAATTGGAATGTTAATGGGGGGGCACGGGGCGCTCCTATATTTATGATGTTCTTTTGGCTTTGTTCCTGTGGCGTGTTCACAGAAATCGATGAATGAATGAACGAATGAGTAATAGTGATAGTGAGAGAGTGAATTGTGTATGGATCATTGTTACCCCAGAGGACACTCCACCGCTGGACATCGATGTGGGTCCCGTTGTGATGGCCGCCGCACCACTCGCGCCCATGCCAGCCGCAGCCGCCACGCCCCCCTGTGTGACCTGGGCCGCCGCCGCAGCCGCGGCTGCCACTTGTCTGATGCTGAGGCAGTTGCACAGCGGCTTCGTCACGCCCAGCGTGCACAGGGCGTTCGACCACATGGCGGCGCTGCTGCAGACACTAGTATCCCCCTTCCCAGCCACGTTTATGCCCGGACTCTTGGACTTGGCTGTGCTTTTGTTTTTACTCTGCGTATATCTGTCTGGCTGTGTGTGTTTGTGTGTATAGCTTCTAATGCGATCCCGATTCAAGGCTAACACTGCACATGGGGCACTACTGCCTTTGATGGGCGCATGCTGCTTGCTGGTCGATTGTGTTCACTCTTTTTGTCGCTAACAACTCGATTACAATGCACTTTCGAATCTGTAACTCGATTCGCGTCTCATTTGCTTACAGAATAAATCTAATTTTCTTTTTATTCGCTTCAAATGCTCTCTTTTCACTACTCTCTTCTCCTCTCTCTATGCTATTTTTTCTCGGTTCACTTTGCGTCTCTTCTCTTCTCTTCTCTTTTCGTTTCGTTTTTGTTTAAAATCCGTTATATAAAATTGCCATGGTGCACTTTCGCGTACACTGTTAAAAACCGTTTGGAAACTTTACGAAAACTTTATAAAATTAAAGCTTATTGCCTATTACCTATTGTTGTACAGTTAATGCTGGCTAAATGCTTTCGTTTAATGGGTTTATTTTATTTTTTGGGGGCAAATTCGTTCCAGTTCAAGTTAAAGTTAAAGTTAAACCTAACGTTAAAGTTTATGTTATTGCCTTGGCATACAAATGTAAGGAAAACACACACGCACGCACTCACATAGAAAAAACTGCACACCCAAAATGATTTTGATTTTTTTTCCTTTCCTTTCTTTTCTGGTTGTAATTGTAAAAATGTATTTGATTTAATTAACTGTTTTATTAAGGGCCTGCCTGGAACAGGCGGAGGAACAGAACAGAGGGTCTGAAATGTTCTCTCGGTTCGCTTTTGGGGCGCGTCGCCTCGTGTTTTGGGGCAGGTCAGGGCGGACAGCCAGCGCCAGCACCAGCTATACACGGGGTTGACCTTCGCACTTTCACTTTACAATACTACGCGCCTGGCGCTCTGCCTCCGCCTCGAATCGTGAAACCGACGAGTTTTCATTTGGTGGTGCATTCGCCTCGCCTCGCCTTGGATTTCAATTTCGATTTTCAATTGATTGCTCACTTTTGCTCTTCACTTTTTATTATTATTAATTATGGTAGAAAAACACCCTTTCTCGTTTGCTCTGCAGCACCCTGATCCGTTGCAGTTGTCACGCCCAGTTAGGGGTTTAAATCTATTTTAGCGAAGAGGCAGCGGAATCACGTAGCTCGTAAAAGAAAGTAGCATCCTTGCTGGCTATGGCACGCTGCCTGGCAGAGCATACTGTGAAATGCTGCTGCCAATGCTGCTGCCAATGCTGCTGCTGCTGCTGATGCTGCTGCTGCTGATGCTGCTTCCGTTGAGCGAGAGCGCGTGAAATGCAGCCCCAAAGCTTCACTCAGACAGACAAAGAGCACACCAAAGAGAGGCAGAGAGCCAAGCGAGAGTGAAAGCATGTTGGACGGACTGCAGGCCAAAGCATGACATGAGGAGAGGTTAGAAGAGGGAGGAGGAGCTTGAGGAGAGCCGTTTGCTTGGCTCAAACACACATTAACTTGTACCGTTTATTTGCGAGAACATTTAATGCATTTTTACTTCTCTATTGAAACTTTGCTCAGCCTGCAGGGCTCTCCACGTTCCATGTTCCACCGTGCACTCTCCTGCTTCGGGCACTGTTGTTCTACAGTTAACATTTGGCTGTGCTTTGGCCTACATTTGCATCAATGTGATATAATCGGGGCGCGCTAAAGCTAACAAAACGCGCGCGCACCACACACGAACGCTCCACAAGTATTCCTTCCCCATCTGGGATCATCATCAGTGAAACTTCAACCTGGCTTTCGATTTCATTTCATTTCACTTCGATTTGTTTCGACACCGGAATATGTTAACGAACGTGTACATAGTCTGTATGTCTGTATTTACACCCAAATCAGGTTCGATCTAGAAACTCTGTCGAATGTTTGCTCAATAAAAATAGACAGTTTCTGTGCATTTTTGGATAAAAACAGTGCTGAAGAGGGGATATTAAACTGATACCAGAGGATGGACAGCGAGCGAGACTGAGGACGAGCATTTAACATTCCCTGTTAAGTCTGTCACAGTACACTGTTAACATTGGCACAAATGTAACGGATTCAGGCTGCATTTAATTAAAGTAAGCCAAGAAAAGAGAGAGAGAGGGAGAGAGAGAGAGAGAAATAAGCCCATTTATGTTAAGGTTTAATTAACATGCACACCCAATTGCTGTTAAAGATGTTCCAGACTCCATGCGCCGTTACAGAAACTGTAGGAATGTGTAGGAATTTTGGACAATTTGTTGGTAACAAAAAATGCAAGATATTCCTTTTGTCCTTTGAGATGAGCTGCAATAACAACAACATTACAGTTACATTGGACCAAGGGAAAGGGTAGGTGGGGGTACATCTGTATGGGGCGTAAGTATTACCACAGTTATTTGGGTCAAAGCTATAGCTATTCACCCGCAAAGCAAAACGAAATGAAGAAACTGCATAAAACATGCACACACACAAGCAAATGCCCGTGCAGCAGCAGGGGGGACACGCACACAGGGACAGAGGACTAATGCAGGCCTAAAACGGTTTCAAGCTGTTGCAGACTATCCGCTGCCATTCGCATTTATTACCCTTTTTAATAAGAGAGAGCTTATGTAAATCCTGAGCTCTGCCTGTAAAGATGCCATGTACTACTACATAGTTTTAGCAATATAGTTTTGTGCTCGCAAGGAATCAAAATGAGATCCGCACAGTCGGATAATTTCTTAAGCTGCTGTTACATGAAACGTTTCGTGTCGACCTTCTTTACTAACGCTATGTTCACAGGTGAAAAAAAGCGTCGGTGGAATAGCTATCGTGTAACCAGATTAAAAGGGTCTACTTTGATAGTCGCTCCCAATCAACCCGCTTGCTGAAAGGAGGTTAAACCAGATGAGAGATGAAAGATAAAGATGTGTGCAGCATGCATCTGGTGTGTAATGAGAGCAGCTGATTGAATAGATGGCGCAGCAAGATGCAAGAACATTTTGGAGCAATTAATGATTAACCGCCTGCCGGCCCGTGGGGGCGGCGGGCAGGCAACGTTTGCCACTTACCTCTCTGGCCATTACGACATTCTCACAAGCAGCGACCGCTCAGAGGGTCTGCCATTTGCGCTTCAGCAGAAGCAGCCTCCACCGTGGCGGCGGCTAACAAGAGCAGCAGTAGCAGCAGAAACAACAAAGCTTACACTCCTCGCGCATATATATATACACTACAGTGTGGTGTGTGTGGGTGGGTGTGTGGGTTTGTAAGTGGGCGGCAAACGGGATAGTAGCGAGAGAGAAGGATGAAGCAAATGACACAAAGAAAGAGAGAGAGAGTGAGTGTGATGAGAGAACGTGTGTGGGTGGGCGGATGTGTGTGTGTGTGTGTCTCAAAAATTCTCTACTACACGTTTATTTTCAATCTTCTCTTCCCGCATATCTCACCAACGCGCCGATGCTGCTTGGAGCTTCTTGTTCCTTTCGTTCTTTCTTTTTTCTCTCTCTGCCTTTATGTCATGCGTAAGTGTGCGTGTGCAAGTGTGCGTTTGCCTGTATATATAAGTGTGTATTGGTATTTCCACAGGATTTATTTTTATTTATCCCAGAATTTGTTTAAACAATCAGGGGAAGCTGCAAACTTTCAAGCAAACAATTGTTTTTTTCATCTCCGAACGCACACCTAACGCCCACTTTTATAGGTGCGGCTGTCGGCTCATCTTTTGTCAAGAGAGAGCACATTAAAGTACCGTTATCGCTGGTGGAGACACATTTTCGCTTTTTCACACACTTTTCCGAGTGCGTTTTTTTTGCGTATAAAACCACAGCACTCGCGTTTTGAAAGTCCTTCCACAGATACATATATCTAATGAAAATCCAGGAAAATTCGGGGTAAATCCGAGGTTTTTCTCAAATTAAAGCGTTTTTTCGGCGTCTTCGGCAGTGTGACCGCGGAATTATCGATAAAATATATCGACAGACACTCGGAAGTATACCCAAATATATCCTTTCATTTTCAAAATATACACTAAATATACCGTAAATCTAAAATCATTTTCCACGATTTGGATCTTCTATTTGATATTACCAGGAGGTTAGGACTTCCAGCTTTTAAAATTTAATTTTTCTTGAATCTTCATTTCATTCTCCTCCATTAGATCGGCTGATTTTGATGACTGATCTTTATTGGATTTATTGCAAAAGAAGGTTAAAACTAAAAACGTCTACCAAAAATTATAGTATTAAAAGCTACGTGGGTGGGATTGAAATGTTACGTCATTTGACAATTTGTTGCTGGCCAACCGGTGGTATAGTATAGTATAAGCATTTTTGTACGCTGTTTGCCATCCCTTATAGTAAAATACCATATTTTACCAGTTGCTTTTAAATGTTAACATTGACTTTGTATTGGAGAGATTTCAGAGATTTCCCAAATTTCCTCAATTCGAGGATATCCATTTCTCCAAGGGTAAATGTTGCTTGTTCTGTGCCATGTTGGGGAACAGTGCTCCTCATTTTTCGCAGCATGTTGCTTGGCCATACAAATGATGTTGAAAACAGTAACGTAAGTGGGGATGGAATAAGGACTGTTTGCTGCGATGAAAAGGCCCAGGTTGCGAGATAGAAACAGTTTTGTCGTGAGTGGAGCGCTATTCAACACTTTTAAGCAAATTTAGTCTATGAAAGGAGTAGACGAAATTGTATGAAAACTAGATGAAAAGGACGGAGTAGACGAATTATGATAAATTAACGATGTTATGCCTTATTTCAATTGGGAGGTCTAGTCAAGTGTGGTGTCATACGATAATATGTAGAGCCGAACAAATATCACATACAAACAGATTACCAGCAAGAAAAATATATATTGTATATTGCTGTCATCCGAAATTTCTATACGCATGTTTTTCAAATGTTCCCACCCACCCAAAAAGTGGAAGTCATGAAAATTAGTCAATCTTATGCAGAATTTATTCATCAATCGGAAAAAATTATAGTTCAGCGCCAAAAATCCTAATTAGTTTTTGATGTTCAACACTGACTGTATATTTAGAAAACTAAAATGTATATTTTGGTATATTTCTGAGGGTCTGCGGTATATTTGATTGATAAGTACGCGGTCACACTGATGTCAAGATAGAATCGCAAATTTATTTTATTTACTTGGAAAATTACAGAATTAAAAGTTTGAGGCGCCATGGACGACATACGCAGCAGCTTGGATAATATGGTAGACCAATTCAACGACAGCATTACCCACTCGGCGCCCAAGAAGCTTCTATTCAATCGCGTCTCCATCTCGCTGAGCGACGATTCCGCAACATGTAAGTGCCGGCAGCAGAAAAATGGAAAATAATTAACAATCATGTTTGCCACAGTGCCAAAGAAGCGACGCATGGAGCAGGAGTCACCGAACTGCAGCCTGAACACCTCCAATGGTTCGTTGAACAGCTCCACCACCGACCCGAATGGCATCTTGCAGACGAACAAATTGCGCGCGGAACTCATCGGGACAAAGGCGCGTCTCAACCAGATGCAGGAGAAGCTGAAGCAGAACGACAAGAAGCGTCGCATGGAGTTGTCACTGGCCGAAAGCAAAGTCTCTTCCCTGCAGGCACAGAGCGACTACACCAGCAACAAATTGGTGCGCCTGTTGGAGGAGATGGAAAAAATGCGCGGGGTCGAATCCAGTTACAAGGAGGAGTTGCGCCGTGCCAAGGCCGAGTTGGCCGCTCTAAAGCTGAAGTATGATGACACCGTCAGCAAGCTAAAGAACGAGAAGGCACAGCAGGAGCACGACGCTCGCGATGTTCAGCTGTGCATCAACAACGAGCTGGCCGAGTACCGGCGCCATGCCCAGCGCTCCGATCTGGAGCTGCAGTCGACGCTCAACGAGCTGGAGTCCATTCGGCAGCGTCACGACGAGTACAAGGTGCGTGTGTCCGGCTTCGAGGAGTTGAGAGCTAACTTTGAGAAGCAGCAGCAGAGCCTGAAGGTGGCCGAGGAGCGCATCAAGGATCTGGAATTTGAGATCCAATCCTACACCGACTGGAAGCAGGTGACCAAAGTGTCGCAGGAGCGTCTCGCCAGCATACCCGAAATGGATGCTGAGCTGCAGCGCCTGCGCATCCACAACCGGCAGCTGAACAAGATCATTGGCGACAAGCTGCTGCTGGAGGAGCAGGTGCACGAGTACAAAACGCGGCTGGACAAGGAGGAGGGTGCCCGTGCCGAGGCGGCTTCGTTGCAGGTGAAGCTCACGCACACGGAGCAGGAGCTCAAGGAGTGGGTCAAGGTCGCCCAGGATCATTGTCTGGCCAACACGCTGGTCAGTCCGGCAGCTCTGCGCTCCCGCATCGAGCAGCTGCTGCAGGGCGACATTGTCCACGTGTCCGAGAAGTACGCCTCCGAGTCGGAGTCCAAACAGATGCGCAATGCTGTGCGGGACTTGGAGCAGAAGGTGCGCGTGTATCTCAAGAACATTGAGGACCTGAACATGAACCTAAAGCGGCACAAGAACTTCAAGGATCGGCTGCAGCGCAAGCTGCGCACTGTGTCCCGGGAGCGTGACTTCTACAAGCAAATGGTGGACAACTTTGACAAGGATCTGACCATGAGCAATGCGAGTGTGGCCGAGATGACGCAGGACATGCAGGTGCGCTATCGCGTGGATGTTCTGGAGCGCACGGTGACCGGCTACAAGGATCTGTGCGCCACACTGGACCGCGAGATTCAGGCCATGCGCGATCAGGAGCAGCTCAGCGATCCCTCCAGCGAGGACTATGAGAATGTGAAGAAGGAACTGGACACGCTGCGCATTGAGAACGATCGCCTGCGCAGGCGCAAGGAGGAACAGGAGCTGGAGATGATGCAACGCTGTCTGCGCCAGGACATTAGCTCACCAGTCAGCAAGGTCGTGCATTTCGCCGACAATCCCGCTGCCGAGGCATACGAATCATCCAAGAACATGTTCGAGAAGCTGCAGGCCGAAATCGAGCGTCTGAGGCGGCATAACAAGAAGTTGGAGGATGCCAACGAGCAGCATCTGAATGAGACAACCACCAGCACTGGGGGCATGACCATGAACTTCAAGGAACTGAACAAACTGCGCGCCGAACTCGAGTCGGCCAATGCCAAGCTGGGCAAGACGAAGGAGCACTTTATGGCAGCCCGAAAGGAGTTCCGCGATGTTGTATACATGCTGCTGGGCTATCGCATCGATCGCGTGGGTTATAAGAGCAATTATCGGTGAGTTTTCAGTGCCCTAGACCCAGTTTCTTTTGGTTCTTAATGGAATTTCTCTTCTTGCAGCGTTACCAGCATGTATGCGGAGAGTCCCGATGATTACTTTTCCATTGCTTTGAGCGAAAGCAATGATTTGGCACTGCTGGAGACACCCTACTCCGAGACGCTGCAGCCAGCACTCGATCAGCAGCTGGCAGCCAATAATTCATTTCCACCATTCTTCAGCTCGCTGACGCTGGATTTGTTTCAGCGTGCCACCGTCACGATTAACTGAAAGGGAGAGGCCACCCCAAAACACAGACACACTGTCTCTATCTATAGTTTAACACTTAATTTAACGTAGTTTAAGTTCAGCGTTTGATTGTTGTTCCCAACTAACATCCGTGGCACGAGACGTTCATTCTTCATTTCTGTTTGTGTTTGTGTTTAGTCGAATGCTACCAGAATTGTGACTTAAACGCAATTCAATATTAGCTGTAGTCATAATTAAACAACAATTGATAGATATTCCCCATCTTTTTTTTTTTTTTTTTTTTTTGAGGATTTATGTTACCGCTCTACCCTTGGGTAGAGGGGGATTATTTGGCCGCCCGCCTTTGCAAGGTGGAAATCGCCACGTCGAGATATGTAACTTGTTACAGTTTTACTCCAATTTTGTCGATGAACTCGATTAAAGTTTGGTACGAGCTGATTTGTTCTTTTTCGAAGAATTTATAGATATTATTATATTTCCTTAGCGATGGGTAGTTTAGTCTTGTTGCGTTGTACTTGGTACAATTAAAAATTATATGCGATGCGTCATCGATAGTATCGCAGGTATCACAAATGTTACTTGCGACTACGTGCATTTTGGCAAGTGTGTGCCTATCAAATGCACTGCCGCTAAGCAGTCTATTGATCCTTTTAGCGTCAATGGCTTTTACATTATTTCTATTTAGGAACCATGGTTTTGTTGAGGTAGTGGGAAAAAGTGAGCAGTATCCTCTGCGTTTAACGCTGGCAAACTCTGCATACTCTCTCTCCCATTCTTCTTTCAGTATTCGGTGTATCTCACATATTGCATCTTTAAGATTCCATTTAACGACTGTATATTTTCCCAGTCTGTGTGCTTCTTTGGCTGCTGAGTCTACTGCCGTGTTCTGAGGGATGTTGGCGTGGCCGGGTATAAAATGAATTTCTACCTTCCTTAGGTATTGGGCTTGACGGATCTTCTCCCTGATTTTATAAGCGATAAAATTATCCTGAATGCTCCTTGCCAGTATTAGAGCCCCGTTTCTGCTGTCCGTTAGGATGGCGATACGAGAAAACCCGCGGGAAATAGCATGGTCCAAGGCCTTTTCAATTGCAAGCAACTCGGCGGACAGTGATGACAAGGTTTTGTGCGTGTAAAAGCTATTCCCCATCTTTAGTTGCTTATATTTGTGAGTGAACCAAAAAATAAAGCTCACTAGTTCACTTGTTGTCTTGTTCAGTGGTGGCACACAGGCGTAAGTGAACTAGAGGACGAACAAGTGAACTAGTGAGCAGATGAATGTGCTCAGTTCACTCACTGAAGTGAACCACTTTACCCAACACTAGTGCCAGCAGACAAAACCTACGATGCCGTTAGAATGTGCGCCACCTGTTCGGGCGTCTTGTGCAGCAGCTGATCCGGCTGCTCGAAGCCATTGGCTGGATCGTGAACACGCTCGTAGATCTGCTTGTAAATGGCCACGATCACGTTAAAGGCACGCTTTTGCACGGTGGCACGATGGCTGCTGGACATGATTAGCTGCACCTGCGGCAGCAGCAGCACATCCGGCAGCTCCAGAAAGGCATCCAGCTTGGACATGAAGATTTTGAGCAGATTTGTCTCGATCTTGGACTGATTACTCTGCAGTATGGTGTAGATGGGACCCAGATTGAGATTGGCCACCAGCGAGGAGGCCTGCTCGGAGGTGAGCGTGTCCAGTTGGGCGTCCGACTGGGCCTGCAGCCGCTCCACGCGCTCATCCATGTACTCGTAGACGGCCAGCGTGCTCTGCATGTGGTAGAGGCAGTTCAGCAGATAAACGCCCATGTCCACGGTGGGCAGATGGGCGGCGCTCTCCTGCACTGACTGCAGCAGAGGATCGATTACACAGCTGACGATCTTCGTGATGTCCGCCTGGCGACCATCCACCATTGTGGCCACCGACAGAATCTCCTTCAGCATG